AGAGGCGCGCTAGGCGGGCGGCTCCCAGGAGACGGGGCGGTGGGGGAGGGGAAACACCCGCGGCCTCACGTTTTATTTGTTCCTAAGCCGAAGCCCGCTCGCGGCGAGACCCAGCGGCGGCTCCGCCCGGCGCCCGCGAGGCCACGCGCTCCCCTCCCCGCGCTGCGGGCAGCTCAGCCCCGCGGCACCGGGATCGCCCCGCCCCCAGAGACAGCCCGTCCCGAGAGACGCGGAGCCGGGAGGCGCCCCCGCCCCGCCTCGCCCGGGGAGACGAAACCCACCGACCCCCGACCCTCCAGCCCGAACAGGGACCGGCCGGGCCCCGCCGTCTCTTACTCTCTTTATTCGCCATTTTGTGCGTGGGGCTCCCTCCCGCGCTGCGCTCCCCTCCCCCCGGCGGAACTGGCGCCGCCGTCTCCGCCGCGGATGAAGCGGCCGCTCGCGCGCCGGCCTTGGGGTTCGAGACGGCCTCGTTCTCCCTCCAAACCGCTGGCTTGGACTCCGAGCGACTCTCCAACCCGCGCCGCCGCCAGTGCGCATGCGCAGCGACCCGGCTGCGCTCCCGGGTCAGACCGCCACGACCCCGAGGCAGCGGCCAATGAACGAGGGCGGTGGGGCTGAGACGAGCAGCAGCGCGCGTGCGAGGCGGACCACAGCTCAACAAGCCCGCCCACCGGCCATCACCTCTTCCTAGGCTGGCTCAGGCAGCAGGGCAGATAAGCGCATGCGCAGCAGGAGAGCGCCCAACAGCGAGGGCGGGGCAAAGGATGGGAGGGCCGACAGGGCCAGCAAGCCCCTCCCCCCGTCTGATGCGGCAAAACAAACCGCGCAGAGAGTTCGCCCCCCCGCGCATTAGCAGTGACGTCAGCGCTCATGGGGCCCCAGTGTAGCTCTGAGGCCAAGCGCCCAAAGTGGCTGCTGCCCCCCCCCAGCACCGCCCCCCACGTGCTCATGGGCCAGCGCCCCGCCCCCAACAGAGCGGGAGATTGGCGTAAAAATCATCAGGTTCCTTAAACAGGGTCGGGGTCGGGGGGGGATACTTTGATTGACTCCCGGGTTTTCCAAGCTTCGGGTCTGGCCTATAAAGGTTTTTATCCGCGGCCTGACAGAGAAACGTCTCTTTAAAAACACCGAGCGCTAGGAGCCTGAAGCGCTGCTGTGCTGGGCGGCGGGGCTCTCGGTGCAACACAGGTAGTGAAAAGAACAGGAGTACTTGTGGCACCTTAGAGACTAACAAATTTATTAGAGCATAAGCTTTCGTGGGCTATAGCCCACTTCTTCGGATGCATACTAAAGAAGTGGGCTGTAGTCCACGAAAGCTTATGCTCTAATAAATTTGTTAGTCTCTAAGGTGCCACAAGTACTCCTGTTCTTTTTGCGGATACAGACTAACACGGCTGCTACTCTGAAACCTGTCACAGGTAGTGAGACGCACTAGTTTTAAGCAGGGAGAGTTGGCAACGGTGTATGTCAGCATTACAGGTCAGCCTGCCAGTACCAAAACTCAGGGTTGTTCAGACGAGGCCTGCCACAAGCAAAACCAGTTTGATTTATATTACGGAGACACAAACTGAACATGCTCTAAAATGCATAGATGTGAGCTTCCTCATACGTTTATCAGGAATTTTAAGTTTGGCAAAAAAAACCCTCTTTTCTGATACAAAGAAGCCACTATATAGATCTATATGGAGTACTGCTTACTCTGTTCAGTAGTATAGTTAAGAAAAATCTAGGGCCCTGTTTTAATAATCAGCTACTCCGTTTAGACAAAGCCCCAGCAGGAATGTATACATCTACAGTTCTCAAACACTACAATGTCTACAAGTTCCAGGCACAGTTACAAAACAAATCGACTCACATACAACATTTTCCCCAGATATTAATTATACTAATTTTCTGTGATGGAATATATCCCTACATCCACACCATACACACTATTGTAATAATCTTTGAACAAAGTTTGTCTCATAAGGTATTATTTAAAAACTCATAATTTGCTAGTTAGTATTTTCCTGATAAAATATGTGTGGTAACATTGCATGTGAAATTACAAGGTTCCTCTGTATGATATTATTAACACATGTTCCAAACCCCACAGCTCTGCCCAGGCAGAAATCAGATCTGTTTCAAACAAAGGAAGGAATTTGTGCTTGCCTTAATTTGCATTTAAGCAGTAAACAGAGTCATCAAGTAGGAGAGAAAACGAAGGAAGTTCAAACAGGTGAGAAAAAAAACAGCAGGTACTATCCTTCTACATAGACTCTTTGTCTCCTGGGTTTCAGTTGGAAATGTTTTTTAAGAGGAGGACTGAAACTATAAATAGGAGGGACAAACACCCCTCCCCCCAAGGATGCAAAGACTGAGGTGGGCAAGAAAGTCCTCCCCTCTCCCTGCCCACCTCAGTCTTTGCACCTGAGAAGATAAAAGGACCAGATATTGGACTCCTAGGGCAGGGGTCATAACCTGAGAGTTTGATCAGTAATCTGCTGGAGCATGCGGTGAGGAAGTTTGCTTTGCAACTAAGGGTTTTAAATATTAGTGTTTTATTGTAATCATTTTTGACTTTTATGCTTTATTACTTATACACCCTTTAAATTATCTGTTTGTAGTTAATGAATTTGTTTTACTGTTTTATCTAATCCAGTATGTTTAAATTGAAGTGTTTGGGCAACTATTTAAGGTCATAAACTGGCATATTATTCCCTTAAAGGAATAATGGATTTAATATATTTGTTCTGCCTAGGAGAGGGCTGGGTAGTACAAGACATTTCTGGGTGAAGATCTGGGATTGGTGTGTGTGTTGGGGTCACCCTGCAGTATTACAAGGGCTGGTGAGAGCCAAGGTACAGCTGGTAGGCTACAGACACTCAAGGTGTGGCTTGTATGCTGGAAGGCTGTTTGAGTGGCCCAGGGTGGGAGCTAATACAGCAAGGCATTGTAAGACCACCACGGTTGCAGGGCAGGGGTGACACAGCCCCCCACTAGTCTGGATTGTGCCTCTGATATGTCAAATGTGCATACCAGTGGAATAAACTACCACCCCAAAAACTGTTCAAGTCACTTAGAAGAACAGATGGAAAAACAACAAATTACAGTGTTATAGATCCCTGTGCAGAATTATCACATTCGTAAAATGCACAGATCTAAGGAGGACTTACCAAACACAGAATCGGCAACCTTAAACTTAAAGTGGGAAAAAACCAAAAGTAATATAATAATATCTAACTCTTATATAGCACTTTTCAGGTGTAGATCTCAGTGTAAACACAGAAAGAAGGAACTATATAATCAATAAAAAGAACAGGAGTACTTGTGGCATCTTAGAGACTAACAAATTTATTTGAGCATAAGCTTAGGCTCAAATAAATTTGTTAGTCTCTAAGGTGCCACAAGTACTCCTGTTCTTTCTGCAGATACAGACTAACACGGCTGCTACTCTGAAACCTATATGACGGGATAAATTAAAACAAAAGGATACTTCCTACAGCAATGTCCGAAATGCAAGAAAGATATTCCCTCCAATTATCAGAAACACTACTAGATTTCCCATGTTAAATAGTCATGAGGAAAAGCTTGGAGAGAGGAAAAAGATAGCAGATAGAGCAACATGCTGTCTAGTAATCTCTCACTGAATGAGAAATGGATAGTAACATTTATAGCATGCTAATAAACTGAGTTAATTAAATTGAGAAAATGTAGCAGGACTGGCAAAAAGAAGGGGAAGAGGTAAAGGGGGATGGGAGATGTAAAGGGAAGGACTGCACTCATGCAATTTAGGACTCTGGCCTGTAGGTGGTAACGCTCTGGCACTGATGAGACAGCCCAAGCAGCACATAAGAGGCTCAAAGAAGAAAGGAAAATTCTCCTCTCAATTACTTGTGAAAGATGCACAGTATGAAGGGGAATAACTTCTCTCTCTTTCATCCCACTTCCCACTATATCCAGTGCTCATGTGGGCTGTGCTCCAATATAATGTTTGTAGAAAATGAAACATTTTGGCTTTGGGACTGAAGCAGACTCCTGGGAGATCAAAATTCAGTTGGACAGTTCCTCTTCAGTTGAAACCACCTTTTGTTTGATAATAAATAATGCTTTGCATATATGCAGCAATCAGTACACTCAAAATTACTTCACAAAAATAAATATTAGACCCACTTTTCAAGTATAGAAACTGGTAAAAGATTAGAGTGGTCACTGTTAAAAAGTTAATGTTTTCCAACAGAGGTATTGAAAATATCAGTTTTCCTGTACTGAAATAACTGCTGGAACTGTGTGTTAGAGTAATAAAGCTGTCACACAGGAATGTTAGTAAGAGTCTGAACTTTATTCCTTAGCCCCAGTTACATGATACGGGTCAGGTTTACAAAAGTATAATATGCCCCTGTCAGCACGGTCAGTAATATTCATTGACTCCTGTGGTTATTGTTGTATCTTATTTTAAAAAAATCAATGCAAATGAAACATAACACTAACCAAATAAGTTATAACCACCACAAGCTAATGTAGCCAGTAAATAAAATATACTATTACCCCTTTTGGCCTGAGCAGTTAGCTGATATTTGGGGCCTTGCTGGGTTGTTTCCATTAGGAGGAGAAATTGATTGAAAGAGTCAGGATTTCTTTGGTGCTATCTTGTTTATTTACAAACAGTGTTCAGGGAAACAGGATTTTGTACATTCATCAGCTTTAAACAGATCAGTAATTGATGGCATTCATTAACATAATAATGCAAACAAAGACATTTAGGATGGAGATGATGATAGACTAATGCAGTGGTTCCCAAACTTGGGACGCTGCTTGTGTAGGAAAAGCTCCTGGTGGGCTGGGCCGGTTTGTTTACCTGTCGCGTCCGCAGGTCTGGCTGATCGCAGCTCCCACTGGCTGCAGTTCGCTGCTCCAGGCCAATGGGAGCTGCTGGAAGCGGCGACCAGTACGTCCCTCGGCCCGCGCCACTTCCAGCAGCTCCCATTGGCTTGTAGCAGCAAACCGCGGCCAGTGGGAGCCGTGATCGGACGGACCTGCGGACGTGGGAGGTAAACAAACCGGCCCGGCCCGCCAGGGGCTTTCCCTACACAAGCGGTGTCCCAAGTTTGGGAAACACTGGACTAATGGAATCCTCCTGACAGATCAGAGGATGGTTCTTCCTCTTATTGGACATTTCTCAGTAACAGTCTCTGAATTTCATTGGTTTTCTGATCACATGACACTTGTTTTCTCAGAACAGGTATCAGAGGGGTAGAACAGCTCTTGCTTCAGTGCCTCACTGAAACTTGCTAAGTCTGAGCAATAAGAGTCACCAGCTTGCTAAGATTCGTCAAACTGGAGCCTCACAGGAGGCTTGTGTGATGGCTAAATTAAGGCCAGGTCTGCACTATAAACTGTTTCTCAGGGGTGTGAAAAATCCAGTGTAGACAGTACTACGTTGATGGGAGGGCTTCTCCTGTTGACATAGTTACTGCCTCTGACAGAGGTGGAGTAGTACCTATATCAGTGGGAGAAGCCCTCCTGTCGGCATAGGTAGCGTCTTCACTGAAGTGCTACAGTAGCACTGCTGCAGTGTTTTAAGTGTAGACCTGCCCTAAGTCTGTAGTGATGCTGCTTAATCCTTGCTAGAATAGGGGCTAAGACAAGGTTGAGAGG